GGGAGCACTCACCACCCAGTTCCTCCGCAGCCGTAGGAAGGGGCAGAGGGAGCGCTCATCTGGCTGCATAGGAACTGGGCGGTGAGTGGCTGACTAATTTCCCCCCCGTCCCCACCTGCACCATAAATATACCCCCAGCACAGCAGTATATACCCTGCGGGTTATACTCGTGTACAGGGTATACAAGTTTTTTTTTTTAACTCAAAAAGAAAAAACCACAGGGAATATTTGGGTGCGGGGTATATTTGGGTGCGGGGTATATTCGCTAAAAGACGGTACATCTGTGACTCCACAGAGGCCTTCATAATGAATATAGAGTAAATATTGGGGTAAAAAGTGTGTATGTCGTTCAAACCTGTTTACTTTTAATAGGAGTCGATAACTTGGAGGAAAAGCCTTTTATAATAGTAACAGAAAAATACCACATCCAGCAAACTTACACTGAATGACAGCAATTCACTTGAAAACAGAGAATGTTTCCTCCTCTATATTTCTGGTTCTTTTATTACAGAATCACAGACTGAGACTCAATCTAAAATGGTTTAAACCTTTTGATCTTTGTCATTATTTAAACCCATTTAGAGGCTTTTTGGGACAGACCCAAAGTTGCTGATGGAATTAATATACTGTTACCTGCCTATAGTCTCTATCACATAATAGACATAGATCATTGTTATTTATTTTACTGTGATCTTCATCTTTCTTGTTAAAGTATTTATACAAAATTTAGATGTGAATTTGAAAAGCAGAAGTGGCAATTGAATCCAGATCTGCCCTTGTTTCCTAAAGATGATTTCCAGCAAAAAATGTCAACTTAATATCAGGAACATTACAAAATCACTTTGACTTACCAGATGGAATCAAGGCAGCAACAATGATTGTGATGACTATGAGCATCTTCATCTTCATCACCAGAGTTGTGATTGCAATGAAGAGTGTAAAATACTTTGCTTTCTATTTATGCATTCCAAGAGAGGTGGTGTCTCAATTCCCAGCCAATCAGACACCAGGGAAATTTAAGAGGAATCTGTTATTTTGGTTGAGAACTTAATTTGTAAACCAAATACCAACCAGAACAGAGTCTTCCTTTGGGGGCGTACAGTAAGGCAGATAATTAATGGAATGGAAAGGCCAAACCTTTGGCAAAAGTAATGATGTGGTTTTGGAGAATGCAATGCAATTAACTTGTTTGGGGTGTTTTTAACAACTGATCAATGATTAAAAATTTAAAAGGAGAGAATTCAAGGACAAACTGCTGATATCTTTTTTTTCTGCATTCTTCATCAGTCTGTAGATAACCTCCTGATTTCAAAATGATAATGTGATGGAAGGTAGGAAGAGAATTCTAAGTAATCTGTGAAGGAATTCAGCTAATTGGACACTTCAGAACTTGACAAGGTGAACACTGAGTAATCCACCTTATCTTAAAAAAAATGTGAACACATAGAACCTTATTAGACAGTTCCAGGAAATGGTCATCTTTGTCTTACCAAAAAATGTGATGTCTTCTGGTCAGTTACATATGTCTATTTTATTATTCATGTTAGATATAAGACAACTTCAGAGTAAATATTAGGAAAAGCCATGGAGTTAGTCTGGAGAATATCTGAATGTAAAAATGGGAAACCTTATAATAATGTGGTTATACCAAATTACAGGATATTCACGAAATGGAAAATGCTGAAGCACGAATAAAGTAAACTGTGGTTATTCTGGAAAAGGGAGGAAATGTGACATAGAGGTGGTGTGTGGAGACTAAGAGTTAAGTTTATATTCTTGGCTCTTCCTCTTCCAGATATATTTCTTTAGGGAGTTGTTATTTCTGACCTCACCTAGCTGTAATATTAAAAAAAAAAGAAAAAAAATAGGTTACATATAATTTCATTATGGGACTTGCAGACATTAAGGATGTACTCTTAGCCTTCTCCCCTTTATGCCCCCATTCTTTCTTTCCTTTCATGCTATCAAACATACTTTGGCAAATAATTGCCTATCCTATCTTGGTGAAAAACAAAACAAAACAAAAGGAGATTTGGTGGCAGGAGACTCAAAACATAAATGTTTGATTTCCTAAAATTGGAGGGATGTTTGAATGAAATTCAGTACAATAATGAAAAGAAATGCTGTTGGTTTGTGTTTTTGTATATGTAGTGGCAACACAGAAAAAATAGAAGAGAAGGAGAAAAAAGCCAAGAAACCTGGATCTTTGATATATAATGTTCATGTTGATGAAAAACTGGACACTTTAAGAAAAGGGGTAGAGGATTATGAAACCATCTGGTGTTTTATTAAAGGCAATTTTTTAAAAGTTATGAGGGCAACATTTCAACCATTTCTACTCCCAATGCATTATTTAATGGTAGGAATTCATATCTTGCAAAGGTCAATCCTTTTCAAAGTCTAAATCCACAAAATATTTCCAACTATTTGTAAATAAAATAAGGTGAATTGCTTTTCTTAATACAAGAAAGTGAATATTTAGTTCTTTTTGTGAAGTTCCTAAAATCCGTTTCACATTTTATTTGATTAGCCTCAGTCATTGCACTTACGTAGCAAACAGCAGATGCGTGTTTTAGGTCCTCCACATCTATAGTTAGAATATGCACCAGAACAATAATTGCCGTTATACTGACATATCCCTCTCTGATTTAAACAAGGTCTATCAAGGAGCACATACCACATATGTTCATCCATTTTACCTAAGAAATAAGACAGTTATTTAAAAAAATTGATACTATCCATTTATTTTCGTAACCATGATCATAGTGACATTGCCATCAAGCCCTGGCAGAAATTCATGGAAATGGCTAGTAAGGTCCTGCTGTGAATGATTTTCTCCAGGACTGTGTCCAGACCAGCGGTAAAGGACTCACCCCATTACTTGTCCTTATACCCTCTTGAATAACCTTAAGCAATTACTCCCTTTTCTCAGTTACTGAAAATATCAATAGTTTTCCTGACTCCCTTTGTTATTTAGCTAAATTATGTATATTCTTTCATCTTTCCTCAAACGCCAATCTTATAATCCTCATAATCATTTCCCATGGGGAAAATGGGAAGTGACTGACTAGGAAGGAGTACTGCAGAAAGAGATCTAGGAGACATAGCAGACCTTAAGCCAAATATGAATCAACAGGGTGTCACTGTTGCAAAAAAAAAAAAAAAGCAAACATCATTCTGAGATGTATTAACAGGAGTGTTGTGAACAAGACACGAGATGTCATTCTTCTGTGTTGATTTGGCCTCAACACATTTCAGGAAAAAAGTGGAGAAATTGGAGACGGCCCAGAGAAGAGCAACAAAAATGATTAAAGAGTTAGAAAGCATTTGGGAAGACTGAAAAAATTGGGTTGGTTTAGTTAGGAAAAGAGAAGACTTTGAGGGGACTAACAGCTTTCAAATGCCTAAAAGGGTATTACAAGGAGGAGGGAGAAAATTGATTCTACTTAAGGTCTTATGTTAGGACAAGGAGCAATAGGCTTAAATTGCAGCAAGGAAGGTTTAGTTGGACATTAGGAAAAACTTCCTAACAATCAAGGTGTAGAAGCACTGGAATAAATTGCCTAGGAAGCTGTGGATTCTCCATCATTTGAGATATTTAAGAGCAGGTTAAATAAACATCTATCAGGGATGATCTAGATGGTGCTTGGTCCTGCCATAAGGGCAAGGGCCTGGACTTGATGACCTCTTGAGGTCCCTTTCAGTTCTAGTATTGTATTATTTTAGTACCACTTCAGTTTGCTGTCACCTTATTGATATTGGTTGCCCACAGCTGCATATGGAGATCTACGTGTAATCTCAGTACCACACAATAGTGAAACAGGTGAATAGATAGTACCTTACTAGAACTGAGGTCCAACCCATATGCCTTCAGAAGAAAGCACACCATTCTCCTCCTTTGTAACCATCATCTGGCTAAATCTGCAATATTTTTAGAAGAGGAAGATTTCAGCTTGACCTCAGCAGAGTGACCAGGTGACATGTGGGGTTAAAGAATTCCTACCAGGCCTGGTTCAAGCCCATTTATGCTGGTTTTCTATACTCTGGATGAGGTTTCCCCGGAGTTCAATTTTACCCTTGGCATCTCAGCTCTGGAGAATGTAAAGAGCTACTGCAGAAGAACCAGGAAGAGAAGTGTTTCTTTGGTTTTCCTATTAACTTAGGGATAAAAAGCCACCCTGAGAGATGATCATTCCCATGGATATGGATGGAAAGAAGGAGTCTCCTCAACATTTCCATGAAAATACAAAATGGTGGAAAGAAGCAGCCAGCCCATCACCCCTCTATCTCACCTATGGAATTTGAGGGAAGAGAAGGGGATGTACCTCAAAAGAAAACTTCTGGTAAAGGATGAGAGGAAACCAAGGTTTGTCGCATGTCAGATGTGGGCCCACTTCATGTTGAATGGCTCCTTAGAATCTTTTCTAACTGCTTACAGTAAACTCTCTCTTCAGCCTTTTATTGAACCTTGACACTATATACTTTTCCCAGAATTGGAGAAGAGTTCTGTAAAGCTCAAAATCTTGTCTCAGTCTCCAACAGAAGTTGGTCCAATGAACTATCTTATGTCTTTCTAAGACTATTCTCATGCAGTATTGATGTGTTATAAATGTATACCTTGGAAACCTGGTATCATTTAGGCTGTAAAATAACTTGTACTTACAATTCACATGGCAAGGCAGGCAGCATTTTTGATTTTTATCACTTCCACACAATCCAGAAAGCATCTCAGACCAGCACCTCATATACCGATAGTCATGGCACTTCCCCTCTTGTTTCTCACAGTTAATATTGGCAGCAACTATCAAGAAAAGACTTTGTTGAGAAATGTCTCAGACATGTGATGCTAGGCTATTACAGTGAAGCGACAAAGAATAACTGAATAGCAAATAAGTGCTAATAAAGATCCTGAGGAAATCCTCACTTCACCTTACAGTGTTCCTGGTTGTGCCACTATGAAAGCTGAGTTGAGTCTTTTCTGACATGTTGTCTAAAATAAGTCACCTGGGTTGGAATTCTAACTGAAATAAGTGCTCTGGTCTTTTTTTTTAAGGGAGATTAAAAGGATTAATTTAGAATGTCACTCACCCTCTGTTAAGACAAACAACTTAGTTTTGTTGTTGTTTTTGTAGGCCTGGTCTGATTTCTAAAATTATAAACTTTTAACCAATTGAAAACTTATTTCTTAGCATGATCAGTGACCATATGCTAAGATTTTAGGTATAATCTAGTTGTTCCTCTCTGCATCTAAATGATACCAGAAAGGAGCAGCGTGAAACTATATTCTCCAGTGATCAAGAGGCTAAGTTGAAAGTCCTGAGGGAACTGCTTATTCCAGGCTACTGATGGGACAGTTTGTCTCAGCTAGATTCCAAATGTTTCCTTGAGAAGCATGTAGAAAAATCCCTCAGCTGCATATTTGGATCCTAGTCTCCATGATCTGAGCTGCTAGTTCAGATTCCTGTGTTTATGCAGAATCCGATCCCAGGGGATTGGATCTGTCTTTGTGAACTTGCAGTCTTTGGTTTGTGATCACAAATACAGCTGCCCTGTTAACTCAGCCTTAGAAAAACCTTTCCCACCAAACAGTAGCAACAATAAAGGGGTGGTGTTACCCCCCCTCCCGAGGGTATTCACTTGAGATGTGAATTTCAGAACCTTGACTATACCATGCTTATTAATGTTAATATTTATACCCGCAAGTTCTTCCTCCTTCCAACTGCAAACAGTAGGCAAAGAGAGGATTGGGAGGAAAGGAAATCACAAAGGGAGATTTAATAGCCAACTTTCTTCCCCTTGCAAATGAAAAAGTAAGATACAGCAATACCATTCATGAAGTTGTACTCTGTTCAGGGCAAGTAAGAGACTCTTACTTGGTTGTCAAGAAAGTGCAAAAATATTTTCCCCAAAACTTCCCCTAACATTTTATAAACATTTCAGAAAGTTTTTTCAAAAAATTATCAAACTTGATCTCCTCCCTAATTAACCCACAGAGATTAAGACAGTTCTATTTAACACTAGCCACACCAACCATTGCAGATGTTTTCCAACAGCTTTTATTTCAAAATATTTCATTACAAAAATAAACTGCTCAGTACTGAATAGCAGCAAATATTCCAATCAGCAAATCTGTTAGGTTCTCATCAGTTTCATTTTGATTAAATAAGAGCTGCTGAATGAGAAAGTAGAGACTAGAATCACCCAACAATTTCCAGTCCCCACATTTCTATTTAAAGCCCTCTTGGCAACTACCCTTCTAGAAATAACTCTGTAATGCTGAAAATATTGATAATCTCTTAACTGATTTTTTACTTGGGTTGTCTATAGATATTATCTAGATATGATATCTATATTAT